ACCCGGGAGTGGGAGGTTGCAGTGAGCACTCCAGCCTTGGGGACAGAGCGGGACTCCATCTCAAAAACAAAAACAAAATTTAGCTGGGTGTGGTGGCATGTGCCTGTAATCCCAACTACTCAGGAGGCTGAGGCAGAAAAATCACTTGAACCGGGAGGCAGAGCTTGCAGTTAGTCGAAATGGCACCACTGCACTCCAGCCTGGTTACAGAGCAAGACTCTGTCTCAAAAAAATAATAATAATAAAATAGGCCAGGGACGGTGGCTCACGCCTGTAATCCCAGCTACTCGGGAGGCTGAGGCAGGAAAATTGCTTGAAATTGGAAGGCAGAGGTTGCAGTAAGCCATTCTACTCCAGTCTGGGCAAAAGAGCAAAACTCCGCCTCAAAAAAGGAGAAAAGAAAAGAAAATAGGGGTCAGGTGTGGTGGCTCATGCCTGTAATTCCAAAACTTTGGGAGGCTAAGGTAGGAGGAACATTTGAGTCCAGGAGTCCAGCCTGGACAACAAGCAAGACCCCATCTCTACAAAGTGTTTTTTTTTTTTTTTTTTTTTTTTAATTAGCTGGGCATGGTGGCACGTGCCTGTAGTCCCAGCTACTTGGGAGGCTAAGGCAGGAGGATTGCTTGAGCCTGGAAAGTTGAGGCTGCAGTGAGCTATGACGGTGCTGCAGCACTCCACCCTAGGGAACAGAACCCTGACACACACAAAAAAAAAAAAAAAAAGAAAGAAAGAAAAGAGACTTATGATGAAAAGCAATCTTGACCTACCCTGAAATCCCCACTCCCTTGAAGGCAACCACTTCTGACCTGTTGTTTCTCTCAGTAAAACTTTTCTGCAGTTATCCCTTGACTTCCTGCCATGTGTGTTTGGGGGAGCTTGATGGAAGAGAGTGTCCCTGTCTCATTTAGAGAGGTACCACCCTCTCTTAATGAGGAGAGGAGGGATGAGACAGGAAAGGGTTCTCCAATGTATTTCTCCAGCCGGGGCCTTAAATCCCTCTTGGGAGATATGGGATGGGGTGGATCGGAAAATAAATTTGTTTAAATCCCTATCAAAATGTCAGTTAGCTGTTTTTAAAAAATCAAATACTGAAATCCAAATAGACTCCAACAGAAAATCCACCATGTCCTCTGCCCTTTTCTTCCCATCACATACCGTAAACTGCCCTCTGTTGACTTTATCGCTACAGTTTTTCATCCTATTATTCACCCTTGATCTCTCCGTTTCATTTTATAAGCGTTTTATTAATTTTATTTATGTATTTATTTTTGACCAGGTAATTCATGCCCAAGGTACAAAAATTCACAAGGTTTGTAGACGAGAAAAGACGTGAAGTTCCTTTTATTCTTTACCTGTGGCCTCCCTGCCCCACACGGGGACGCTAGGGTGGAATGTAGCAAAGCCCATCCCCCAGCCATATACTGCCCCTCAACAGGGCCAGGTTGGAGCGACCGCCTCTGGGGGACCGGGCCCCCCTTCTCGCTGCGGTGAGCCCGGGCTGAGATGCGCACTGCGCAGACTCCCTGCTGCAGTGGGCGGAGCTCCCGCTTGCCCCGCCCCCTCCTCCCACCCCTGTTCAGCCTGTCCCGGCAGAAGCTGGGGCCCCACGGAGGTAGCAGCAGACGCTTGCGAGCGCGTCCGAGGCCCCTCGGGGTAGGTGGGGGGAGGCTGGCTGGGGGAATGGGCACCGGGGTGGCAGGGAGGTGATTCCCGGCTGAGCTGTATGGTGTGGGGGTAACCTGAGCGAGGGCAGAGGAGCCACCTCGAATATACCCCCTGTATAGTCCCAGGGCTGAGAAAAGCCAGGCACAAAGACCTGGGACTCCACTGACCTCATCCAGGGCTGTCTTTCTGTGGGTGTCTAGAGATTGGAGGAGGGAGAAGGGGGCTGCTAGAGGGGAGCTGCGTGGGTGCTGTTGGGGGCAGGGTGGGCACTGCTGAGTGATGAGCAGGCAGCAGAGTCGTTGGATTTTGAGGGATTTCGAAATCCTGCTGACCAGTGACCAGCTTCCTCTTTTTGGGGTGGTGGGCAGTGTGCCAGTGGCCCCCGTGCTTATGAATAGCCCCAAGACTAATCACCCTTCTGTGATGTCTGTCCCTCGAAAGCATAGTACACCCCACAGTGTGCCCACTTTTGTTCTGCCAGTTTGGAGACCCTGACACACCCACCTTCTCACCTGGGCTTTGCGTACCCCCCAGCCTCAAGGCGAGATGAAGCCTAAACTGATGTACCAGGAGGTAGGTGGATTGGGGACTCCGCAGTGGAGCTGGGTGCAGTGGGGGTGGGGATTTGAAGAGCCACCTTGTTACCCCCGTTGTTGTCCCCATCCCCTAGCTAAAGGTGCCTGTAGAGGAGCCTGCCAGCGAGCTGCCCATGAATGAGATTGAGGCGTGGAAGGCTGCAGAAAAGGTAGGAGCCCTCTGCCACCCTCACTCTGTCTCGGGGACAAGCTGGGCTGCCCGCTCGGGCTGGCTGACCACCTCCTTCTCCCCACAGAAAGCCCGCTGGGTCCTGCTGGTCCTCATTCTGGCGGTTGTGGGCTTCGGAGCCCTGATGACTCAGCTGTTTCTATGGGAATACGGCGACTTGCATCTCTTTGGGCCCAACCAGCGCCCAGCCCCCTGCTATGACCCTTGCGAGTAAGTCAGGGGCGCTGCAGGTGAGGGGGAGGGGATTGCCAGACCAGGGACACTTAAGCACACACTAAGCGGGGCCTTCACTCAGCCCTACCCAGCACTTGCCACAAGTGAGGAGGTTGCAGACTCCCAAGTGCTTGCCCGCCCCCTCTTCCTCCACACACAGTTTCTATGGCAGCCACAGCGTCATCTCCTATCTGGCCGGTGAATAGACACAGCATCTTCCACCCACATCTGTGGGGACACACGCACACACACACACCCCCACCCCTAAATACACGACCTTCCTTCCACACCTCTAGACAGACGCATTCACAAACACACAGAATCATAAGTCTAGGCACACATTCAAATACACACAGTTTTAAAAAATTTTTTAAAAAGAAGTGTTTCAACATATTGAGTTAAAAAATAAAAGCTCAAATACAGTTTAGCCAAGCTCAGTGGCTCACGCCTGTAATCCCAACACTTTGAGGGGGGCTGAAGTGGGAGGAATTCTTGAGCCCGAGTTCCAGACCAGCTTAGGCAATGTAGTGAGACTCCGTCTCTACCAAAAGAAAAAAGAGTCCAGGCATACTGGCACACACCTGTAGTCCCATCTACTCAAGAGGTTGAGGCGGGAGGATCGCTTGAGCCCGGGAGTTCCAGGCTGCAGTGGGTTGAGATTGCATCACTGCACTCCCAGCCTGGGAGACAGAGCAAGACTCTGTCTCTAAAAAAAAAATACGGTCTGTTCAACACACCCATGGATGGACAGCAGAGCAGTCACCTCCGGCACCCTATGGCTGATAGCATTCCCCACCCCCCAGAGCAGTGCTGGTGGAAAGCATTCCTGAGGGCCTGGACTTCCCCAACGCCTCCATGGGGAACCCTTCCACCAGCCAGGCCTGGCTGGGCCTGCTTGCTGGTGCACGCAGCAGCCTGGACATCGCCTCCTTCTACTGGACCCTCACCAACGATGACACCCACACGCAGGAGCCCTCTGCCCAGCAGGTACCTGCAACCTTGGCCTTGGCCAGCAGCAGGGGAAGGGGATGGGAGGCAGCAGGGGCTGTGGGTGATGAAGGGGTTTCTGCTGCAGCCCAGGAGACAGATGGGCATGTCTCACACAGTGGATTGGACACAGGTGTTTGGAAGCAACTGTCTTCACATGGCCCTCTGGACTGGGGGCGTTTGTCACGGTCGTCTGTAGGCCTCTGAATGTCAGGGTGTGGGTTTGATTACAAGGGATTATTAGGCTGGCAGATGTCACTCGCCCACAAGCTGCCCTGACCCCGTCACACAAAGAAATGGAAGAGTGGAGTAATTAACAGCCCAGCCTCAAGATTGGGGCCACCTCCCAGCTGTGTGACCCCAGGCAGTTCACCTCTTCTCTCCAGCTTCAGTTTCTTTATCTGTAAAATGGGGCCAACTTATAGTACCTACTTCTTAGGGCCCTTGTGAGAATGAACTGGACTAATCCATGCAAATTTTAGCACAGTGCCTGCCAGAGTCAGCCTTTGTGAGTCTGCTGTTCCTACATCCTTGTGGGATCTGCAGACAAACTTAATGTAAAAGCTGCTGGGTGTGGTGGCTCATGCCTGTAATCCCAGCACTTTGGGAGACTCAGGTGAGCAGATCACCTGAGGTCAGGAGTTCGAGACCAGCCTGACCAACATGGAGAAACCCTGTCTTTACTAAAAATACAAAATTAGCCGGGCGCGGTGGCTCAAGCCTGTAATCCCAGCACTTTGGGAGGCTGAGGCGGGTGGATCACGAGGTCAAGAGATCGAGACCATCCTGGTCAATATGGTGAAACCCCGTCTCTACTAAAAATTCAAAAAACATTAGCTGGGCGTGGTGGCGCATGCCTGTAATCCCAGCTACTCAGGAGGTTGAGACAGGAGAATTGCCTGAACCCAGGAGGCGGAGGTTGCAGTGAGCCGAGATCGCGCCATTGCACTCCAGCCTGGGTAACAAGAGTGAAACTCTGTCTCAAAAAAAAAAAATACAAAATTGGCCAGGCATGGTGGCGCATGCCTGTAATCCCAGCTACTCGGGAGACTGAGGCAGGAGAATCGCTTGAACCTGGAAGGCAGAGGTTGCAGTGAGCTGAGATCGCGCCATTGCACTCCAGCCTGGGCAAGAAGAGTGGAACTCTATCTCAAAAAAAAAAAAAACTTCCTTCATGATTTGAAAAGGAACAGCCTACATGGATAACCTCTTCTATTGAAAAACCACAAAGGCTGGGCGCGGTGGCTCACGCCTGTAATCCCAGCACTCTGGGAGGCCGAGGCAGGTCGATCATCTGAGGTGGGGAGTTCAAAACCAGCCTGACCAACATGGTGAAACCTCATCTAAAAAAAAAAACAAAAAACAGAAAAAAAGGAAAAACCACGAATTTGTTCCGTTTTCTTCTCCCTAC